ACAATCTGTTATTTCTAAATTTTACAAACTTTCTACTCAACTTAATAATCCTAACAAACTTTTTAAATTTAATGCATAACCCTTATGGTATACATTTCTAAATATTATCAAATCTTTTAACCTAAATATTAACTTTCACAAAGTTCAAGCTCATACTGATAATACCTTTAATAACATGGCTGATTCTCTAGTAAAGCAACATACCTTTTCTTTACCTTTATATTTTCAATATACAAATATATACATATATATTTATTTATATAAATAATGCAAATTCTTAAAAAGAAAATAACCAATTAGGATTATTTAGCAAAGAAGAGATTTTCTAATTATAATGTCAATTTATTTTCTGATTGTAGCATTAAAATATTTAATGCAAGCAAAAAATTGAATTTTTAATTGAGCAAGAGTATGTTTACTTTTATTTGTAATAAATAACTTTATTTAAAATTATTCTATTGAACTCAATTAGTTTATACAAAACATAATCATAATTTATAATGTTGCTAGAAATGTTACAATGATCAACTAATACTATTAACCTTTAAGCATTACATAAATATAAGCTACGCTACTATAATGTTGTATGAACAAAAGGATGAGGTTAATCAATTACGTCATCATTTTTTATAACAGAGTGCACAAAATTTGAATATTCTGGATCAGTCCGACATGAATTCCGAACACATGCGAAAGAAGAAAAAAGCGAAAAAATTCAAGCTTATATCATTACGTTACGCAATTAGTTTAAATTCGATTTCCTTTTTTGGTTTGTGTTACTCGCACAAGTTATTGACCTGGGAGCACAACCACACCCGCGGTTTAAATTCATAATTTTAAATTTATTTGATTTAACGAAAACAATTACATAAGAATGAAATTTTATAAACTATAATTAATGTCAAACTTTACATACCAACTAATTTTTTTTATCATAAATCGTTCCTTTGGAGCATCTTTGCTACCAGCCTTATGTCATTGCAAAAATAGTTTCGTTAGGATCATTAGAGAGAAACCTGAATGATTGAGACTTGGCGAATGAAAGAGCATTAAAATATGTGATTAATTCTGTTTATTGACTAAAGATTGCTAATGACGTCGATTTCAAATAAATTATATAATTATAGAATATCTTATAGCATATAAGTGACCTTTTAATTAAATTTATTACTGATGAATTAATTATTGAACAGAACCGCCTATACTGCAAGGGATTCATCAAATGTGTAATTAAAATCTCACAAATAAATTAAAAAGTATGATATTTTCAGTGTTGGCAGCAATAGATGAATAGAACAATAGAATTTAGAATAGAATAAAATTCTGTCAATAGAACAAAAAATTTCTAACAAGATTATTCAACTCTCCATAAATGCATATTATCTGGACCAAACTTTGAGGGCTTGCATTTAGAGAACAATAATAAGAAATGCATCTATAGAAGTTTAGTATACATTTAAGCCATAAAATTAATATGCATTTAAAAAGGTTATGCGTTTAGGTGATGCATTTAGGGGCCGACTGTAATTAGATATTAATTTAGCAATAAATAAATAGAACAATATAACAAAAAAACAATAGAATAGAGCAATAGAATTAGAATAGTATATAATTTTTATCAATAGAACAACACTGGATATTTTATATCTCTGATAGCGTTAAAAGGAAAATCCTTCGACTTATTAATAATCTGACTAAACCTATTTAACTCAATTTTTCTGCTTTCTAAACAATAACTTCATTAACAAAGTCTGCCAAGACATTAAATTTAATAAATTACCACCTCAGAAGCTCCATATTCTCTTACATCATATGTTGTTCCTGTCTTTTGGTTGTTGTCTCCATTTGGGTTTGGAATTTGTTCTGATTGAGTTGCCATTGCGTGACGCCGATAATAAAAGATCAAAGCGATACATATCGGAAGAATTATCCCACTAACAACTCCTAGTGAAACAGTTGTACCTATCAATGCATTATCACACCCTGAAGTGGTATATTCGGTATAGGTATAGTAGCTATAATATGTAGAAGTATAAGTATAGGATCTTGTATAGGTCGTAGTGCGGGAACTGCAAGATGGAGGAGCTGGAATAGGACATGAAGCTAAGCAAGGATCGCAAGTAGGAGAAACACATGGAGCGCAAGCAGGTGCTTGAGCTAAGCACAACCTTATATTTGGCAAATGGTAATATTAAATAAGAATTAATATTATACTTGAATTTTTGAAATATTTATAAGTATTTTAAATAGATCTTTGCAATTGCATTTCCACATACCTTATATTTAATAAATCTAAATGAAATATTATTAAAAAATTTATTAAATATTTAACAAATATTATATCTTTCATGTTGAACATATGTTATTTCTTAATAGTTATATACTGTTATGTTCAACAAATTTCTTGTTTTTTTCTTAAGAGATTCAGTATTGATTTCAAAATGCTAAAAAACTTAAGATTATGAATTGTAGAAAACTTTGGTTTTTAATGGTCTTTTTTTGGTAAGTCTTATAGTCGTTTTTTGTTTTGATAATTTTTTGTACTGGTCGCACATATGTAGAAAATCAATTAGACGTACATATGTAGAAAATCAATTAGACGTACATATTGTTGGGTTCGGAAGTTTGCGACTCTGTCGCTCCACAATTCAAAACCTCGCGTAACGTACGATAAGTAACCT